TCAAAATTGATGCCCCTTAGCCAGGAATTATGGTGGGCACCTGTAGTCCCAGCTACTCGAGAGGCTGGGGCAAGAGATTCACCTAAGCCCAGGCGTTTGAGATTGCTGTGAGCTGTGATGCCATGGCACTCTACTGAGGGCGACAAAATGAAACTCTGTCTCAAAAAAAAAAAAAAATTGATGCCCTTGGTTTTTTCCATTTGTTTCAGTTCTAAATCAGTCCTGGACAAATAACTGTCTGATAGGTGAACCTAAATTACAATGAAAACTTAGGTGCAAGAGAGTTTGGAGGGAAAGCTTTTAGCTTTCCAATTAGTGTATATAGCAGGAGGGTAACTAGCATTACACAACCCAATTCACAGTACTTGTAAATTTTTTGTGAATACTTTAATGTTCCTACTATTAATTTTTACATGGACAACGAATAGTACATTGTTTTGAGCATCTAAAAAGGTCACACAAATTACATTACAGTGCAAATTTGCCTTCTCATTCAATATTCTCTCTTTTTTTTGAAGACATTCTTATAACCTCAGGTAGAATGCAGTAGTGTCTTCACAGCTCACTGTAACCTCAAACTTATGGCGTTGAGTGATCCTCCTGCTTCAGCCTCCCCCAAAGCTGGGACTACAGGCGTGTACCGATGCCCATGAATTTTTTCTATTTTATTGTAGACATGGGATCTTGTTCTTGCTCAGGCTGGTCTTGAACTCCTGAGCTCAAGCAATCCACTTGCCTTGGCCTTCCAGAGTGCTGGGATTATAGGTATGAGCCCCTATGCCCTGCCCATTCAATTCTATATTCATGCTTTTCTCTAGTTAACATCTGTAACTCAGCTTCATTCTTTTAAGCTTCTATAAAGCTCATATATTAGTTATTTGTTGCTACCTCAAAACTTGCTGGCTTAAAACAAACATCTGTTATTTCCTGAATAAATTCAGCAAATATTCCTGAACATGCCCACTGTGGGTCAGCAATCCAATCCAGGTTAGCTTAGCTGGGACCTCTGGCTCAGATTCTCCCCTATGCTGTAATCAAGGTGGCTGCTGGAGAAGTGGTCTCATCTGGACTTGACTGGGGAAGGACCTGTTTCCAGTTCACTCATGTGGTTGCTAGCAGGGTTCATTCAGTTCCTTCCTGGCTGTGAGTTGCAGACTATCCTTAGTTCCTTGCCATATAGGCCTTTCCATAGGGCAGCTCATAATATGGCAGTTTGCTTTATCAGGGCAAGCAAAGAAGAACAGAGTGATAAGCACCATCTGTAGGGGATTGAATAGTGTTCCCCCAAAACCTCAAAATGTGACCTCACTTGGAAAGAGGGTCTTTTCAGATGTAATTAAAGCTTGTGAGATGAAACCATTCTGGATTTAGGGTAGGCCCTAAATCTAATGACCAGAGTCATTGTAAGAACAGGAAAGGACAGAGATAGAGGCAGTATGAAGGAGAAGGCAGAGATGAGAAAACCCTATCTGCCAGCCAAGGGTCACCAGGAGCTGCTGGCAGAATGGGATGTAGAACAGTCTCCCCTCCCACACACTACAGGAGGAAGCAACCCTACTGACATCTTGGTTTCAGACTTAGGGTCCAGGAAACAGAATAAATTCATTGTTTTAAGCCACCAAGTGTGGTGACTTGTTATGGCAGCTCTAGGAAACTTAGGTACCTTCTTTTGTTGCCAAACCTTGAAGTGGCATTCTATCACTTTTGCCATATTCTAAGTCACTAGGTCTGGCCCAGGGCTTTGAGTACTGGGGGCAGGAGCCACTGGGAACAGTTTTAGAAATACTGCCACAATATGCCACTTTCTGAATAAATCCTTTATCCATTCTACTATGGACATTTAGGTTTTTCCACTTTTTCATCATAACAAAATTCTAGAGCAAATATTCCTGAACATGCCCACTTGCAAGTTTCTCTAGGATCTAAACATAAGTTGCTGAATTGAGAGACTTTAGTAGGTATTTCCAAATTGCTCTCCAAAGTGGTATGTACCAAAGCTTACATTCTTACCACTGATGTTTGAGAATTCATTACCTCATCAATACTTGGTATGGTAATATTTTGAAGCTTTTGTTAAGCTCAAGAGTATAAAATCTCTTGTTTTTGCCCTTTAATAAGCATCTTTTATATATCTTATATATGAATACTTCATTACTTCTATAGGTCATCACCAAATCTATGACTTTTTATCTTTTGTCGTATAGAATTTCTAACTTGCAGATACTTCTTTTATGCTTTTGGTGTCATTTTAACAATGTTTTCCACATTCCAGTGTCAGAAAGGGATTTTTCACGTATAGGTCTTTAATCTAGAATTGATTTTGCATACATTATGAGTTTATATTTGTACTAATTTCTGTCAGTAGTGTTTCTTTTTTTTTTTTT